GGTTACCAACTAAAGCCACAGATAGAACACCATATGAATTGTGGAATGGTCGAAAACCAAACTTAAGTCACTTACGAGTATTTGGCTGTAAAGCATTTTATTATGTGAACAAACAAAAACGGCGTAAATTCGACAACAAAGCCGAAGAAGGAATTTCGTAGGATACGATTTACGAAGTAAGGGATACAGGATTTATGTAGGTGGAAAGAAATATATAAAAACTGTATTTCAGAAAGGTTTTGAAACTGAAAAATGCTCGATTGAAAATCTCTCGGGTTTTGGAAATTTTGAATTTAGGAAAGTGAGAATTAATTAATGTAGGAAGATCAGTACAGCACTAATTCACTTGGTAAAAAAAAGTATTTGCACACCTACATTTTTGTTTGCAATTCATAAAAAGAAGCATTAAGAAATAAAAAAAAAATTGGTATTGCCAAATCAGAATAAGTTTAATCATCCAAAACAAACAGAAAAATTACAATAATATAAATAACAATGCTTTTTTGTAACAAAATTAAAATATCTCGTATCAAAAAAGTATTTGCACACCTGCATGAATACAAAAGAAATAAAATATATAAGCAAATTTCAAATAACTAATATTTAGTATGCATTCCTTTAGCATCTATTACTGCTTGTAATCTTGCTGGCATTGATTTAATTAAATTTTCTGTAACAGTAGGGTCAGTATTCGACCACTCTTCAATAAGGGCTTGTTTAAGGGCAGATTTGCTTGAAATCTTCCTTTTTCTTATTTTTAAATCCAAAGAATTCCACAAATTTTCCAAAGGATTTAAGTCTGGTGATTGTGGTGGAGTGGCAAGTTTTCTGGGTACATTATAAAGCAACCACATACGTGTTATACCGGCAGTGTGCTTGGGATCATTGTCTTGCTGAAAATAGTACGAATTACTGATACCCAATTTTATTGCACTTTGTGGCAAGTTATCTCGCAACACATCAATATAGGTTCGAGCTGTCATATTCCCATCAATGAAACACAAATTACCAACTCCTTTGCTAGCCATGCACCCCCAAATCATAACAGAACCTCCTCCATGTTTAACTGTAGGTAACATATTTTTGGTATGAAAAGCAGTACAAGGTTTTCTCCAAACTAATTTCCTGCCATCTGATTTAAAGATATTGAACTTACTCTCGTCGGAGAATATGACATTTTTCCAGAAATCAATTGGCTTATTGATATATTCCTTAGCGAATTCAAGTCTCTTCAGTCTGTTTCGTTCAGTTATGAGAGTTTTTTTCCTTGGTGATCTCCCATAAATGTGTGCATCGTGCAGGACATTTCGAACACTTTGGGCACAGATTTGAACTCCAGATGTTGAAGCGACATCATTGGCTAAAGTAATTGCACTAACAAATGGATTTTTTCGATGCTTCTCTTATGATTTTTCGCGTTATTCGCAGTGAAAGTTTCTTTGGGCGTCCAGAGCGCAAGTTATTTGATGTAGATCCTCTTTCTTTATGACGTTTTATAATATACCGAACAGTAGAGAAGCAAACATTTACTTTTTTACCTATTTCTCGATAACTTAGGCCATTTTCACGTAGAGAAAACAATTTTTTCTCGCAACGAAATCGGCAATTCAGATTTCTTAGGTGCCATTACAATTTGAAATCGACAATCAACTGATAACGTTTCGACAACACCTCCTTTTATAGTCGTCTTACGTATGTTATTTACTGCGGGATGACTGTCAAATAATAGCATAAAAATGCAAATTTGCTAAAGTTGAGTTGAGTGTGCAAATACTTTTTTGACATAAGCTATTTTAATATTGTTGCAAAAAATGTTTTTTATTAATATTATTGTATTTTTTGTAATTAATTTAAATGAATAAGCTTATTCTATTTTTAAATGCCAATTTTTGTATTTCTTAATGCATTTTCTTATAAATTGTGAACAAAAATGTATGTGTGCAAATACTTTTTGTACCCACTGTAAAACGAAGGCGTTTACCAAAAATCTTAAACTGCCATTTATAATCGAATTACCACCAAAATAGCAAATGGTTTAGCAAATTGTAAACGTCTTAAATCAAGCACCTGTACAGGTCCCCAATAATGATATGATGAACTTTCTCACCAGTAGTGAAACACGCTACGATAAGAGTTTTTTAGCATGGGCAGCGTATAATAATGCCAAGGTACATCAACTAGATGCTAAAACAGCTTTTTTGTATGGCAACTTAAATGAAGAAATATATATGGAACAACCAGAAGGATTCGTGATTCCGAAAGAAAGACATAAAGTTTGTAAATTACAGAAGTCTATTTATGATCTCAAACAAGCAGCTAGGTGCTGGAATGCAGAAATTGAAAATACATTTAAGAATCTTGGGTTCAGTAAAAGCAAAGCAGATCCGTGTCTTTTCACAAAAGTTGTTCGTGATAAAAGAATTAATTTAATAGTGTATGTTGATGACATCCTAATAAGTTCTACAGAAGAAGGACTGATTCTTCAAACAATTAATGATTTAAAGAAGCGTTACCAAATAACGCATCTTGGTGAAGCTAAATATTTCATAGTCATGGAAATAAATCGCAAGTAAGATGGAAGTTATCTCTTATCACAGAAAAATAAAATAAATGAATCCTATGACGGTATCTTAGCATTTTTAGTTGATGCCAATGCAAAACATAAATTAAATAATAAAGATGCAGCGAAACTTTAAAAAGTTTGTAAGCAATATCAGATCACATTCAAACAAACGTGAATTATACATAGCTCACCTGGAAGGTTTTAACGCCTGCTTGAAGGAAAGAGTCTCTCTTCATTGGAGGAAAAGAATTCTTTGTTGGAAAAAAGACTTTTGGAACTTGAGTTAAAATTTAATCAATTAAACACAGCTTGACCAAGCCACTGTCTTACCACATTCGGAAATAGCGTTCAATTTAGAGGCTTGTCATTCACATAGTTTAGACGGTAAATTTGATAAAGTGAATTCATGAGTTTATCTTCTGCAGAAATTGTTAGGCTCACTTCGAAGCCTTCACAGGTAAGGAAGATTCCAGCTCAACAGGATCACGTTTTGATTATCAAGGCTAAAGATACAAGCAGATCGCCAAACAGTATTAAGACGCAATTAGTTCAGAATATTAAACCGCAAAGGCTCGGAGTAAATATTTTACAAGTTCGTCCAACAAGAGCCAAAGAGGTTACTTGTTCGTTGTAAAGGGGAAGACACACTGAAGAGCGAGACTTTAAATACACTGCTTGTGAAATGGCAGGAAAGATGGACTAATGACTCCACAGGAAGACGAGTCTTCTCTTTCTTTCCAAAAGTTTCACTCAGTCAAAGAAGCACATCGAATTTTTATACTCAATTTTTCACTGGTCATGGACCTTTTAATACATATCTCTTTCGATTTGGACTACGTACGACTGAGCTTTGTTCTTGCGGGGAGTTGGGAGACCCTGAACACTTTATCTTTCACTGTCCATTTACTAAAAACCTTCACTTGAATAAACCTTTAGATCAACACAGGCCAAAATGGGCTGAAATGATATTAAAAAACTCTAGTGAGAGTAAGAAATTTAAGGAAATTATGCTTTTCTGTCAGGAATTAAATTTTTCTGTAAATAATTCTCTCAGATCATCTCTATTGGGAGTGAGTAATTGACTTTCAGCGACTGTTAGATTTTTACTGTATAATGGTAATTGTTTAACTTTGTGTGTTTGATGCTTATTATTGTTCAGTTTGTTTGTTTCCACTACTTATGTTACTGATTTAAAATTAGAAGTGGTTTTACGTAGAACAGACGTATCTGACATTGAATGCATCTATGCTCTTATAAATTGTAACGGTTAATTGTAGCCTATTAGTTTTGTAATTGTTAATTAAATTTAACAGAAAATTTTTGTGACAATTTTATTATTTTGCATATTTTAATGCGTTTCTTTTGTAATTGAATTGATTCACTTTGGTGAATTTGATAGGCATTAATTGTGCATTCTATTATAAAAATTTGCATTCATGATAGTATTTTATATTAATTTTCTTTACTTTAATCTTGAATGCATTTGTTTTTGATTTTGAAATTCTGTAAAATTTTGTGTCGGCATTTTTCTAGTATTGCATTTTGTCTTAGCGATGCCAGCAAACCTAATATCTAGAATTATTATTTTGTATACCTTTTTTGCACTTTTCTGAATTGAATAGTTGACCAGTGTTTTGTGAATTTTATTGGTTTTACTTGAGTTCTCTATTGTAAAATTGTGCATTTAAGGCAGTATTTTATAATTAATTTCTCTTGAACTTATTTTTGAATGTATGTGCTTTTTGGAATCGGAATTTTCATATATTTATGTGTGGCATTATTCTTGTACTGTGTTTCTATCGCGTCGCCAGCAAACCTGATGTAGAGTTTTATATTACTTGGAGTGGTTTGTTTTTAAACCAAATTTATGTTTTGCATTGTAATAATATCTCAGGTTCAGTGTATTTTATGATAATATTGTTCAGGTATCATAGTTATTGGTTCTTAATTCTGAATTCATATGAGAAAAAATTTTATTCGCAGTTTATTATTGTCTTAGTTTATCTTTATGCATTTTTTTTTTCTAAATTGAATGGTTCTTCTTGAATTTGTGAATCTAATTGATATTAATTGTGTATAATGCAGTAATGGATGTATTATATTTTGTTTGTACTATAGTTTTTATTTAAATTAGTTGGACTCAGTTTTGAAAGTGTATTTCGTATTTGCAGTACAAATTATGAAAGTATACTCGGTTTATTGTTTAAAATGCTATAGGTAACTACTTGTAACATGCTTTCTTTAGGGTCTTATTAATGACTATGTTACTTATGTTCTTGTGTTCTTGAAGGCCTTGTATGCCACTGTAAACTTATTCTGCTTAGTCATAATAAATAGCTTCTGGAGGCAGGGGCTTTAATCCGTGTAAGGCAGACATCATGTCAGCTAGGTAATGGAGCCCCTGTTCTCTGGTTAACAGTACTTTCTTCTTTTTCAGGTACGATGGCAAAGTATGTTCGTGTTTCTCCTTTTTATCCTAATATAGGTAAGCCTGGTCATATTTAGTACTGATGATGATTCTATGTAAGTTATTCTTTTTAATACTTCAATTTTAATGTCTGTGAAGATTATTACTTTATTATTATGCTTAAGTTAAGCAGAATTATCCTATTTTATTAAATAAAGATTTCGTAGTTAAAATTTTTGACTTATGATTCTTTAATTCTGTGCTTGAGGAAACGTACTCATTACGCCTTCAGTGCTAATGCACAACTAACAAAATCACATCAGAAGAATTGAAAGCATGGGTAGGTATGCATATACTCATGGGCATACATCAGTTGTCTGAGCTGAAAAACTACTGGAGCACAGGACCCTATTCTCAATGGTCAACCATTAGCAAGAATAATAATCGCAAAGAGGTTCAAAAAATAACTGAGACTTTGCATGTAAACGATAACAGCACAAATCCATGTGGGCAACTTTGGGCATGATAAACTCCGATAAAAGTCAGACCAATCCTCTCACAGCTCAATGATTCCATACCTAAAGTCTACGAACCTATCGTCAACATTATGAATAGATGAATGTGTGATAGCTTTCAAAGGGATTACTTCATTGAAGCAGTATATGTTGCCAATGAAGCCTATAAAAAGAGGTTACAAGGTGTGGTGTTTAGCAGACTCTAAGACTGGATATATTCAAAAATTTGAAATTTATTGTGTAAAATAAACTTCTGATAATAAGGATAAAATATGGAGTTTAGGGGAAATAAACTGAACTAATGGAAGATGTGAAACAGACAGGTCATCTTATAGCCTATGATAATTCTTTGACATCTTTTAGGCTTGCAAAAAGTCTACTTATAAGTGGTCTGTTTTCTGTGGTTACTGTGAGGCCGCAAAGGAAGGATCTTCCACCAATGCTGAAGGCTAATAAAAAATTAAAAAGAGGGGAATCAATGTTCCTAACTAAGGAAGGTAATGCTGCAATAAAGTGGATGGACAAAAAGGCTGTTACATTGTTGACTACTGCACACAATTCAACGATTATTATATCTGTAAATCGTACCCAAAAGGACGGTACTATAACAGAAGTACCTTGTCCTAAAGCTGTTGCCGTATATAACGATATCGTGGGAGGGGTTGATTGCTTCGATCAAAGAAAAGAAAAATACCAAATAGGAGGAAGATCTGTAGAATGGTGGCATCATATTTTTGATTCTCTTATTGATATTGGCATCGTAAATAGTTTTATACTGAAGCAAGTAAACAAGAGAAACAGAAATTTAGACTAGGTAACATTCCGTATAGCATTAGCTCGTCAACTAATAGACGGATATTCCTCGAGAAAGGAAAGGCCTTCCTGCTAGCTTCCAAGCAAAAAAGTGTGCAGTTCCAGATGATACACGCTTAGCCAATGTGGGAAATCATATGCCATAGATGGTTTTCAACTATAGACGATGTAGGAAATGTAGCACAAAGGCCCAACAAAAGAGGACCCCATATATGTGTGCAGTATGTGATGTACCTTGTGCATTGCAATATGTTTCTCATCTTTTCACGGCAAATAATCGCCTTTAAATTGAATTTTCTCTGTGACCATAATAGGGCCCGTGGGAAGTATACTTCCACCCCTAGAATTTAAATGTAAACAAAAAATTGGCAAAAAAATATATTCCTTAAATGCTATTGTTTAGTTGATAATAAAACATAAAAAAACGGGAGAAATTCAAAAGAGAAATAAATGGCCCACGAAAGGGTTAAAGCAAAAAGAAATTACACTATTTACCAACATACAAGAATAAAAAGCACTAAACTCACCGAGCCAGGTGACAGAGTGGAAATATATAAAGATATATGTTTATATGTAACTGGTGCAGCCGTATAACATACATAACTGCATGTTGTAGCAGTCCCATATACAAAATTTCAACGTTCTACGAGTACTCGTTGTTCAGTTATGCGAGATACATACCTACATAGGTACAGACGTCAACAAAAATTCTCTTCTGAATCCACTTTAAATCTAGTTTACAATGGCAAAAACAATCCTTTATTCTGTCCCCACGTACAGATGTCACACAAAAACATCGTTCAAATGGTTTCGAGAGCAGTTGAAATGGCTATTTTGTTGAAAATATGATATCCGAAATGTTTCGCGATTAGAATACTTCCTTTACTTCATACAAGGCAGTAAAAATAGTGTCATTTAAAAGACCGGAAAAAAATCTGGAAATTTTGGTATTCCACGATGTGATCAGTCGATGGCTACATCTTACCATAAAGTGCTGTCAAAAACCATTCATACTTTAATTATGATTCTCTTAATAAAAGTTTTCTTTTTCACTGGAAATAGGAAATTTCTATGTAAGTACGCTTTTATGTATATTATTACTTGAAACGATATATATATATATATATTTACTTTCAAAGTACTTTCAAAGTACATTTTTATATTATACTATACCTAGAGGAAAAGATATAACTTACATACATACTATGTTGTCACGACACCAAAGAACACTTAATTATTTATTTCACTATTTTTGAAGCAAATATGGAATACTATTAAAATTTTCATTCCTCGACACATATGTTTTCATGAAAAATCTCAATTTTCCTATGTATTAAAAATGCAGCCAGTGTGGTTGAAGAGAAAATGCATCGCAACAGAAAAATACATTTTGAAATATTTCGCAATTTATGTATGATATTTTTTTTTTAAATAGATTTTGACAAGCATAAAGAAGTAAACATGTCGCAGTATGTAAAGAAAAAAATCCTTTTCAGTGAGCTGGTCTCTAGATAGCAAAACCTTACATTTATAGCATGAAACATGTTCAAAACCGCCTTATTTCTAAGCCTTTTTTCTTTTTGTATGTTTTTTTGAGACATGAGCGTTTGCAGCAAATCCGCTCAGAACGTAGAGCCGAGGGATATATTGAAAACACATCCGGAAGTGGAAGGAGCAATTATAATAACTTAAAGCTAGCTTGGTCGTTTTATATCTGCTGAAAGAGAGAATAGAATTCTAGAGATAATCTATTTTAAAATTGTGTTGTTCAATTTCGCAAACAATACGTCCATTTTAATTATGCCTTTGGAGGCTCTGCAAACGCAAATAATGATTTGCAAGGATAGTTTGAGGATGCTTTATGATTACTTCAGAAATAATGTTGAGTTATTATTTGCATTTTTATTTCGAAATGAATTTTCCTTTAAAAGAGGATTTAAATGCTTCAGTTCCTTCAAGACAATTATAAATATATCTACAAACATTAAATCAGTTCCTTCTAAGGATGATTTTATAAACTTTAGATAGTTAATAAAGTGCTATGAAAACCGGATATATCACGAGGAAAAAATTATACAGAGATGAATGTTGGGTTTATTAGTGGCATTTTTATTGCCAAAAAAATTACTTTAAATTTTTAAGTTCTTTCAAGGCGCTTGTAGATAAGTGTAAAAGCATTAAATAAGGTCTGTCTTAGAACGATTTTATAAACCTCAGATTATATTTAATAAAGTGTTATAAAAACCGAGCATGTCACGAGAAAAAATGTAACCTAAATATATATTCAGAAACAAAAAATGACCTTACTTAACATTCTCAAATCATTACAAACACACATAGCTGTCTACCTATTTATATCTTTCTATCTCTCTGTTTTCTTCAATATATATATATGTTAAATATACAGTAGAATCCCGCAAACTCCACATAATGTGGGCTAAGAGATTCGAGTTTCCGAAAAGTTGAGTTTTACGGAATAAGGGCTGGCTTTTTCAGAACTTATAATATTTAACCTTAAATTACCCTAGACCAGTATTTACCAACCTTTTATGTGCTATGCCCCACCCAATCCTCTCTAAATTTTTTACGCTCCCCCTAGCATATACATAATTTTTAAAATTTAAAAATTGAAATATTCACGAAAGAAACTTTAGTGATAACTTTTAGGAAGAAATTACTACGAAATTTTGTGAGCAAACACAGTAAGTGAACTTTCAAAACATGGAGAACTGAAATTCAAGAAGTGAAAGTTTTTATTTTAAAGTATTAGTAATTTTTATTATTTTAATTAGCGAGTTCCTTGCGCTTGATACTTGCTGCAAAGAAATTTTATGTCAGGCTCCGAATTAGATAACTTGAGTCTCGAATGTCCCGGTTTCATTATATCCGACGTTTTTTTTTTTTTTTTTTTTTTTTTTTTTTTTTTTTTTAAAGCAGCAAACCATTATGGATTTATGGCACTAAATCTGCATTCAGGAAAAAATATGAAGATGGTAACAATAGTTCTCTTGCAAATTTGTTGCATTTGGATATCTGATTCTGGTTTCCTCACAAAGCTATGTCATCGCTCCTTTTATATTAAATAAACGTTTTAATTGACTCATTTTGCATTTCTGCGAGTTCTTTTTACTGCGTATTTAAAATATCAGACAAATTCCACTAGCAATTAGACTGTATCAATCCAAGTTGGGAAAATCAATTTGTTTTAAGTTATAAAATCTTTCAAATCAGCCTGAAAAAATTTTCAGATGATTCGACAATATTACAGTATAGCGGTATCAGTAACAGGTGTAGCGGTAGTCACGTCACATTTTTGGAGCCAATGAGACTTTTCAAAATTGTTGTGGTAAACAGTATATGCCTGACATAATTCAACAAAGATAATGAAACCAAATATCTTCCTTTTGCATCATAAGTTTTATTTGTCCTGAAGTGTTTATTTACTGTATTTAATTTTTGAAAGATATCGGCTAAATAACTCACAATTGCCTTGTTATCATCCGTTAACGGATTTTTCATTTCAGGTTTGTTTGCTTAAAAAATAACTAAGAGTATCAAATAGTTCCATAATCTTTCCAAGCAGTTCCCTTTCGACAGCCTTCTTACTTCAGTGTGAAGTACAAGTCTCATAAAGTCTCATTTTGTTCTTCATAAAATAACTTGAAAAGACGTTCACATTTGGCCCTAGCTTTAATAGCATTGATACACTTTATAAATGAATTTGTACTTCATTTAGAACAGGCGAATTGTTTTTAGCTACCAGGTTTTCTCTGTGAATAACACAATGCAAAGAAGCATTCTCATCTTTATCTCATCTTTTTTCATGGATTCTCATCTTTTATCAATTTTAAGCCACCCTTTTTCTTATCCGTGCTTTATTTATTTTTCAACGATCATATTGGAGCACCTCTGCAGTACAAGATGTATTATACTTTTTCTGGTATATTTTTATATCTAAGTAATTTTTTAGCTTACTATAAATATATTTGGAGGGGTAGTGTTGCTTTCTAATGATTTACAGAACAATTCTTCGGAAAAATCCCTTATGAATATATCTTACATAAGTTACAAGACGGCTTCACTGTCTCTCACAGTTGGTTCATACATCTGCACCAAAAATTTTCTTGTTTCAGCTTTCAACAAGTTGTATTTCAATATCCTCACTCATTTAATCTTTCTTCTTCAAACAGTATTGTTATTTAGTGGCATAGCCTTAACGTGTTTGTCATCTTTTTCTAGAACAGTTTAAATGTGATATTGATGGTTTGATTAAATTCTTCCCTATAGTATGGCTTTCCCAGATTAAGCGATGATAGTAATGAAATTTGATAAATAGCCTCCAGAGCACGATTAACAGTTGCATTATGAGCAGTAAATAGACACTTTAATATTACTCTATTTTAAAAAAATTTTCCTTAAAGTGTGCAAATAATTCGAATCTGAATTAATATCAGCATTATGTTTCGCCTTCAAACGTATACATTACTTACATTTTTCTTTATTTTGGGAAATAAAAAATGAAATTTCAAAACATTTTGACTTCATGACATATTTAGAACGTCCTTTGTCCCCTTAAACTCTGGACGAGTCCATTTTCGAATTGCCCCCCTTAACAGTCGCATTGTCCCCTTGTGGGGCGTGGGCCCCACGTTGGGAAACACGGCTCTAAACATTTGTAGCACAATATTGGACACGGAGAAGTACAGCAAGCAATGAAATTAGAGTTGATTTTTATGCCAATTTCTAGCATAATAAGAGTCATAAAAAATCAAATACCGTAGGATAATTGAGTAAAAATACAAAAATGAAAGAAAATTATTAGCAGTTCTTGGTAGAAAAATATCGTGTAATGACAGATTGTCTCTCACACACAATCAATTCATCGTCTTCCAGCTTCATCTGGTGGGCGACGGAGGAACAAAATATCCATACCAGATGCACCTTGCTCCTCCATTAAACGCAACATTCCTTCAGCGGCCTTCAATCCTTCACTATGGGTCATCATAAGCTTTCCGATTGTAATCAAACTCTTTGTTTTCTGATTCATTTTCATTTTTATTCACATTGTCTTTCACCAGTGCAACTATATCTGCATGCCCTAAAATTTCCCAATTTTATATTGTCCCATACATTTTTCAATATCACTATCAGTATCTTCTTCGCAGACTGGAATTTTCTTAAGAAGTCAACTATTTCGCAATTTTCTGTCTCTTCTCTATTTTCGTGAAATTCGTTTCCTAAATGATCCAGCAAATGTTTTCAGGAACGAAAGAGGTTTGTCTGCTCGATTTCCCTCCAAGAATGAGCTATCCATACAACAACGTCCAACATATGTATTTTCTTCAGTTTCTCGATCATATCACACCCTTCCCTCCATTGCTAAGTCACGAGATGAAAGAAGTTTACTTCTATATTTTTCCTTCAATGCGTCGAAAAAGCCCTAATCCATCGGCTGACACACTGAAATTTCGTTTAGGAGGGACAAACATATATCTTATATCTTCGTCTCGTCACGTTTTTGCATCAGGATGGGATGAGGCATTGTATAGAATAAGAATCGCCTTCTTGGGTAGAATTTTTATTTTAAAATCCTTTCCACCGATGGAACGAAGTTCTGATGACCGCCAATCATTTAATATTGCTACATTCATCTATACGCTTGACTTATTCCAAAACCAAACAGAAAGATCGTAGTTGGTTTCTGTCCCATTAGTGTACGTTTTTACGTTTTTACTCCCGCGGATTTTTTGATTTGCCTATAAGCGCTACTTTGAGCTTATGGCTACCCGTTGCATTGTTTCATGCCAAGATTTTGACTCTTTCCTTATTTCTTTTGCAGCCAGGTGCCGATTTTTCTTCCCTGGATGCCAGCGTTTTTCGAAGGTAGTATTCGAAAATTCAGACCGGTCACATCACAATTATAAATTTGATCTCCAGGTATATCCTCCATTTCAATTAGTTTGTGGAAATTATCCTTGAATATTGCAGCATTTTGGAAGTTAACGGATAGCTTTTTCCTACAAACGTTTAACTGCCTGATGCCGTAACATATGTCGATCCAGCTAGCCCTAACAGTAAACTCAGATTCTCCTTCTTGAAATTCATCATAAAATTTTAGGGTCTTCTCTTGTAAAACTGGTTCTGAAAGGGGTGTTCCCTATTCCCCTTGCTGTCTGAACCATAAATAATGCGCCTCGCTCACTTTTTCTTATTCAGTAATTTTCATACTTTTTCTTTCTTTAAACTATCCTTTTATGCTCTTTTCACACACCAAGACTCCATTTTGACCTTTTCTTTTTTCACCCTATCAAAGTAGTCCCTCCAGTACCTAAATCCATGGTAATTTTGTTTACACGTTTCCCTTTTTGCAGTCTCTTTAAGGCTTCTAGTTTCGCTTCCATTGCCACGTTGGTTTGTTTTCTTTTCTTTCAGAAGGACATTTTCAAAGAGTATCAAAAGTTCCCAAAATATGTTAACGCATATACGCCTGGGTGTGAACTAATAAACGATATTTACAATGAACTGCTGTGAGTTTAATTTACAATAAGATGCAGTCACAAAACTTCAGAGAAGTCTCTTAAGTTTCGCATGAATAAAAAGGAATGTGAACCAGCTGCCAGCTGCTACCTGACATTTTACGTATCTTCGAAAGAAGCAAACAGCGTTGCAAAGTATTGCAACATATCTTGAAATTTGTTAGGCAATTCCAAGAATTAATGACACAATGAGAAAGCGGCAAATGTTAAAGAACACTGAGATCTTTCAACAGAACAGGAAAGATATACGCATAAATAATAGTTATACGTGCTGTATGTAATATTTGCTCTGTTTGGCCTAGAGATATCTTATAAAACTTTCCTAAAAAGTTGTCGAGTTACCAGACGCTTTCCCGATTTTTAACAATTTATCCCTCTTCTCCCTCGGCGTTTTAAAAAAAGTCCCGATTTTTGGAAAGAATGCACGACGAGCTAGGGAAGGGCGGGATAATACGGTTTTTGCCGGTCATATGACTATTTTATCAGAATGTGAGTTTTTATTATTTTTGCTAATTTTATAATGTTAAATTTTAATACTAACGAATAATTGTTGAGAACTGATTATCAAAGTTCGCATTGTTGATCACTCTTTAGAATTCACGCACCATTGTTTGGATTTAATGGAGAGTGACATTCTTTGGCATTGGCAACGACGAAAACATTTTGTAGTCTCTCAGACGATACACACAGTACTGCGTGCTAGTACTAGTTAAGCAAGTGATGTCAACCAATCAGCTATTCAGATAATTTAAGCAGTTATTTATTTATTTATTTCATAAACACATAAATTTTCTTGAATTTAGTACTCTTATTATTTATATTTTATAGTGGTGGAAAAAGGTCCAGCGTCAGCCTTGAAAGTAATACTTACGACTTACATTACGGCAAATTCAGAGGAAAAATAATAGAAGTTAGTATTGCTATTATTTAGAATGAAAAATAGGATTGAAATTTAAATACATAATATTTTTACAATATAGTTATTTTATAACAAATTAATGTACCTATTTACTGTGTTTTTAAGCAATTGCGCAAGTATTAGAATAACTTGTCTTCGAACTAAGTGAACTTAAGAACATTCAGTATATGTACTATATATATATAAATTTATAATATAATTTATAAATGTATAATAAATTATTTCCATAGACTTTTAACATAATAAGTAAGAGAAAAAGTTGAAAATTCAGCGATGATCTGAGAAGTGAATATCCTTTTATTAAAAAAAACTAAAAGCGATTACTTGGTAAAATGTGAGAAATCTAATGGTGAATTTTTTATTTCACCCTTCGGGAATAATAATATTTCAAAGCACTTGGAGACACAGAAACATAAATGATATGTAAATAATACTGCATCTTCCTTTAAAATGTATGAATTCTTTCGGAAAACAACTTATTAAGACGAAGAAAAGAAGTTAGCATTAGCGAAAGGAATTATATCTTTTCTTGATGCTAATAATCACAGTCATTCCTTCACATCTTTACGTTACAAGTTGTCCAAAAGTTATTCAACAAACAACTTCCTCTGGTAGAACAAAATGCGAAGCAATTGTGTGTTATGTGCATTTCCCATATGAATGTACAGAATTGAACAAAAATCAAGAAAAAGTTAATATTTTATCCATGTACTTTGATGCTTCTAATCATATCTAATCATATAAAGTTATTTCCAACCATTATTAGATTTTTTGATTCGGAATTTGGAATGAAATTTATTTCGTTTCTTGGGCTTGCGAAACTTCTGAAATAATTTTCAGGTCCATTATTAATATTTTGGAAAAAGCAATTTAAAACTTAAAATGATTGCATATTGCGAACACATATTTTGGAGGAGAAGTGGTACGAGGTACAAATAATATTTTTTTTTATAAATCAAACAAAATGCTTTATAAGGTATTTCTTCCACCTTCTTGGCATGCCTTCGTAGTGTGATTGCCTGCACGCTAGGCCGATATTCCAGAGGTCCGTGGTTCAATCTCCAGCGAAGTCGGTTGCATATTTTTCATCTTTCCTGCTTCCCAAAGAATCCTAAAGTCTCTACACTGGTGCCAGAACTAAAAGGTGTTGGATGATGTTCCTCCTCACTAAGGATTTGTCGATTGGGTCCCCTAGAAACCCCAATCGCCCTTTAAAAGGGGGAGTATATAAGGTATGTCTCCCACCTTCTTGGCATACCTTCGTGGTGTGGTAGTCTGCACGCTGGGCCGGTAGTTCATAGGTCCGAGGTTCGATTCCCGTCGAAGGCAGCTGCATATTTTTCATCTTTTCTGCTTCCAAAAATCCTAATGTATCTACAGCTTTATAAAAATTTATTGGTGTTTGCTGTGCAGCGCACATAATACATAATGTCATTCAAACAGCCCGTAGATTTGGAATTTTTTTGTTATTAAAATGTAAACAGTACGCGTTGAAATGCTTAAATAATTTTCTCAAACTGCGGAAGTCGAATATAGGAAAATACTAGGATACAGTAAAACGCGCTGGTTAGCTCTTTTGCCAGCTGTCCAAAGAATTTTGAAAGCATACGAACCTTTGAAATTCTACTTTTACTGTCCTTACAGGAACTAATCCTGCGACTGAATGGGCTTTTTCTACAGTAAACAAAGTGTGGATATCAGAAAAATCATAATTAAATCTTGAGACTTTGAAAGCCATTTTATGTGCGAAATATAATTTAACAATTTCTTGTGAAAAATTTCATTACCTTTTAAACAACGACAGTAATCTACTAAAAAAAGTCATCAAATGAGAAATATGCCAGAGAATAAAATAATACTATACGTAAATTTTTAATGTATTATATTTTTAAACTGTAATTATGTTGAAAAAAGTATATTACAATACTATTTTTGCGTTCTATGAAAATTTGTGTCTCTTCATATAGACCAAATTTTTAATCAAGAACCACCCGGTAAATGGTTTCCAGCTTTTCCAATGTTAAAATTTGGTGACCTTAGTTATAGGTAATGTCAAGATATCACGAGTCGAGCTCTCGGGACTCTATTGTATATAATATATATCATCGTATATCTTTAATATATATATACAGGGTGATTCTAAATTGCTCTTACAAATTAAACTTTAACTTTTGTGAGCGGTCTCAGAGACCACTGAGGATTTTCTAACCGTAGTTTCCACCTCTAAAAACGGAGAATGGTCTCTGTCCTTCTACTACTTTCCCAAACCCATCCCACAAGGTCACATATCCAGTTTCACACTTCTAGCTATATTATGGTTTCAGTCATCATGTGTTTTACTTTTTAAGGTGCTTGGGAAACCGTTCACAGTAGATGCGTACCAGGTTTAGTGACGATAGACGTTATTTATCGGACGCTTGTTTTTCGTAAAAGTGATAAATATGGCTTCAAATTTTACAGAAGAAAGTCCCGTCTATCTCACTCAAAAGAAATTTGAATATCTTGTCAAATTTTGACAAAAATACCTGTTCGAAGAATTGTAGTATTCACAGCGAAAGCAAAGTTTTGAACAGAATATCAAATTTCTACTGACTGTGAACAAAATAATATTTTTATGTAAAAAGCATCGCAAAAGGAAGCAAAAAAAAGAATCAAGTCGGCGCGATCGGATACCAAAACTTAACATATACTTCAGATCCCTGGTCTGAACATCCTGGAAAAAAAAGGCTCAGATCAGAGTCCGAAGATACATTATCTTCAAATGTAATCGTTTCTCTTTTGCCTGATCCTTCCCCTATGGGACTGTAAGAAAATAAACTTCCTAGTTTCCTGTTTCTCTCAAACGCAAATCGCCCACTCATGTTATTTTTCGAAAATAGTTTATTCTATTAAAATAAATTTTTATTGAAGTTCCTGTTTAAGGATACAAGAAAAATAAATAACATAGTTGAAAATTTATCAAATTTTTTGCTGTATATCGAATGAATTACGCAACAGCAAGTATTGTCCTCACATGCAAATTGAATAATAAAATACTAGTATCGAAGGATTTCATTTGTACGGAGAATCTAAAAGAAACTCATCCACTCTTAATTAAGGAAATCAATAAATGCTTTTTCAAAATGTTTCAAGAAAAGTCTAATTTTTTACAATTTGCATGAAACTATTTATCACAGAAAGAATTTATCGAATTGCACAATAGGAAAATAAAATTTGCCATTGTTTTAGGTAGTTTGGATACTAGATAAGTTTCCCAAGAGGAACAAGTTACAACTTTCTCCAAACGGTTTTAAATTGAGTGCCTTTGTTAAAATATCGCACGGTATGTTCAACGAAAAATTTCTCAAACGAAAATTTAGTCTTTATTATTTTAACTTTCTAAAAGGAGAAAGTCTATAATTAACTCAAATCAAACAGTAGGTATAAGAAAACTCACACAAACAAAATAAGATTTGGAATGTATGAATGCAAGAAGAATGTGATTTCTAAGAATGTGATTATATGGCATAAACAATGTGTCTTCTCTTTTTCAGTATGCCTGTTGTATGTCAGTCCATGAGGATTAGCAGAGCAGCATCAAGAAAACTTTATTAGAACTCATTCTAACAACTTACTAAAAACAACTTCTGATGTATTGACAATAAAAAGAGAAATTCTTTAACATTGCTCAGTTAATATCTATCTCACAATATACCGATAAATGAAAAATTTTAACTATTGATAAATTTACAGCTTATTATCGATAGACGTTAAAAGTACCGGACATATAATCTGTATGCAATGACATTTTAAAATTTATAGAATGAGATTGTCCAAACGTTGCATGCCTGTAGTATATGTGTTACGGTGAAACCCCGAAATCTGAAGAATGTCGACTTTCAGAGTTGAATGTCAACATTCACATAGTCACTTGGTGCATGTCCGAAATATTTTCCAAATACTCTTATTTCTGACTTACACCGGTAAACGCCGACATTCACCATGTACTAATGGTGAATGTTGAACATATAAGAATATTATATTTTCTTCTCCTTAATTCAGTCGTGAAAAAACGCGCTTGAGACTTAAAATAAGAACTTAAGAACATAAGAAATTAAAACACACAGTACATTTAAAATGAGAAAGAAAAATAATAGATGTTAAAATCTTACTTAATTATACAGTACGTTCTAAATGAAATAGTAAAATAAAAGTTATGAAAAACTTACTAAATTATGTGATTAAAATCTTATTTATCGCAACAACTTAAACTATTATGACACATTATGACCTCTCTTTTCGACCTATACCAGAGCATATCTGTGACTGTCGACATATACCGGTGAGGGTCCGAATGTACAAGAATATAATGCAATATTCGATCTTTCATCGACGTATTTGGTGAATGTCAACATTCTCCGGTGAATGTCGACATTCTCCGATTTCGGTCTTTTGAGGTAACATAAATATTTATCAATGGGAATGAGTGAAGAGGTAGAATAATCGAATTTTGTATGGCAATATGTTGTTTTGTACGGCAAGTATAAAAAGTATTTGTAAAGTAAAAAGCAAGGTAAAAAGTATTTGTACGGCAATACTTTTTATCTTCTTTGTTTTTATATGATAGATAGCGAGAAAAGAATACCAATAATTGTGTTATATGTAATGCAAATTCATAACAGGGAGTTTTTAATACGTATTTAATGAAAACAGAGAAGTTCAAAAATATTTCCTACTTGGATGATTTTAAGGAATAAAATCAAGAATTCTTATGATCGGTCAAGCAACGCGACGCAAAAGAGAGATGGCGTCTAAAATTCGTACACTTTGTGAAAAAAAATAAAGGAAACAAATTTCGTAATTCTACAGATCGTAAGCTTTGAGATAAAAAAATTAAATGAACAAATAAAGGAACAAAATTTTAGAATTCTGAACATCTCTTGCAAATAAACATTCATCCACTCTACTTCTTTCAAGTTTTCAACATCACTTCCTGTTCCCTGATGATTTCATACCAATAAAATACTTTCCCATTGTAATTGCTCACATTATATACACTAAAGTTTGTGAAAACGTGCAGCACCATGAAGAAATTATGAAAACTGAACAACACTTACAGAAAATGTTAAGCGCTTTAATACACTCAAATGATTACAATGACAGCAGTGATGCATGTTTCGAAAAAATCGGCAGAGGAGAATTAAACAAGGTACTGTTTCTTCTGCCAGTGGGGTACAGAATAGCACGACGGCACGGGACGACAGATATCTCATCCGCATGGCTGTGACGCATCGTACATATTGAAATAAATTAAATTTCTATTCCTGAAGTATTTTTGTTAAAATACTTCTTTTCAGGTGTAGAAGGATTTCTTCTGGATTTTATAGTAAGTATGAAAAATTGTTTATCACTAATTCGTATAAATTAATTGCAATAAACTGTGAATAAAATTATAAAATAGTATATAGTTCATCTTGCCAGTTTATTATTTTATTTTGCCAATTTATTTTGCTAATTTAATTCTTTTTAGAATAATATTATGAATAAATCAAAACTATCTGTTTTAAAAGGAAAAATAGGAAAGCAACAGCATTAGTTACAGGTATTTGGATGCATTTGGATTTCACATTATTTCATAACAATTTCTTGTACATGGTAAATTATCGATATCAGCTTAATTACTTTGAAAAAAATTAAAACACATGCAATTTACTTAAAATACATGATTGGAACGTCCTAGGAACCAGTAAGTTTCATTGTGATAGGGCAGTGTTTTGATCTTATAAATATGGCCACCACTTGTTTCATTTTCGAATAGCATAGGAAAATGAGAATCTTCTCTCCTGGTCTTCTAACCTCCTTGTAACTAACCTGTTCCAACATCTACCCTAAGAAGTCACCCAAAGAAGATGCAGTACTCCCTAAGCCATGAAAGCCATTCGTATCCTTGTTTCTTTAGTAGGGCTTACACCGAACAACTTCTTAATGGTATATCTGCAGGATTTTGAGTTCTAGAAACAAACTCTAATGACCAGATTCTGTTAGATTTCTAATTTCATTTACACGGTTATGTATAAATGTTTACCTTCTGTTTTGATACATTACAGCACGTCCATAGAATGAGACCACAAGGCTAACTCGGTATTTTCTAATTTCAAATCTGTCTTCAATGAAGAGGTAAGTCGAGCCACAATCAGTCATACAAGCAATTCCATTGTTCAAAACGATAAATCTATAAAATAGCTGTCCTTGGTCTAGCTTGTATTAAATGACAAGCTACTTTTCTCTCCTTTTCTGTTATAAGAAAAAAAAAAGAAAACAAAATCGCATATCTAGACTTGGACGTGTCACAAAATGTATATAATATGATGATGGATCCATTATGACCTAAATCAAATCATCTACAAATATAGTGTTACGAATTTGGTATTTAAAAAGCTAATGTTAGCTAATGTTTAAAAGCTAATGTTCAATTATAAATTAAATGGTTTTATTTCTCGCGCAGTGCGCGCGTGACGAATATTCAAAGAAGCTAAGCCGGAAATTGAAAATACAGAGCGCGTGCATTAAATAAATAAATATGTCTTTTTGACTTCAAGAAGAGTATGCCTTGCGCAAAGCCATCGCTGCTAAAATGTCTCTTTATCATTTAATAAGAAGAAATGCTAAATTAAACATCAGTCTCAAGAAGATCTATACCAGCTTAATAAGACCCACCCTGATTTATGCAGTGCCTATCTAGGCCACTGTGTACAAGACTTACAGACACAAACTACAGGTCTTTCAGAACAGAATACTCAGACAAATTGTTGACTTCTCATGGTTCGTACGTAACCTGCAGATACATAAAGAACTAAATCAGACCCATAGCTGATCAAATTCTCACCACGAGCCACAATTTCTATGCTAAAAAGCTTTCTCAGTACGAACATAACCGTGATCTGATAAATTATGACCCTACAATAGAAAATGCAGAAAGCGCCCAAGAGGCATCTTCCATAACAGCAAATGGTGAAATGTATATATTGTACATAGTACTATTATCTTTATTTTAATCTTCATTAGTGTCATTTTTACCAGTGTCTTTGAAACTTTATAGATTTATGGACATGATCCGTGTATCTGGGTCTTCAAAGCACTAATCTTATATTGGTCATATTTTATTTATCACTTTCAATCTTCTTATTGTTATACCAGAGACTTTGTAATATTGTGGACTTATGGACATGATCCGTGTACCTGATCTTCAAAGCTCTGATTATTTATTGCTAGTGTAAAATTTTTCACCATTTTGCCACTTCGCTCAATACCCGCGTCCCTATATACATAGTGTATAGTTACAGTAACCATGTGCCTCAGTTTTACAAGAACTTTAGTGTTTAATTTCTCAGACCAGACTTCCTGAATTGTGATATCTACTACTTCAAGATGCATTGGGCTGTGGACAGTTCACGGGAGGGTGACTCCCACGTGACTACCACTGTCCAATCTGTTTTTACAGAAGGATGAATTTAAATTTTGTTTAGCTAATCTGTTGCACTTAGTTGTGCCATTTGTCTTCATTTAGATCGCCATATTATTTAATTATTCAATCTAGAAACTGTTCAAAACTTGATAATTTAATATTTCCAATATTTCTCATTGTACGCGTAGCTGGTGACACCCACGACAGGCTTCTGCCAATCATCTCCCTCCACTCCACCTACATTTCACAAAATTGACAAGTTTCGCCTAGTTGGTGCGGCGTAAATCGCCTTAATTAAACTTAATACCAACGCCTTAGGGCAATTTACCAACAGAGACGTTAAAGTAGGTTGGCTACTAAGCCGCCTAGCCATTGACTCGTTTCGATTTCGATTTCAGTTTGTAGTAGTTGCTTAGTGTGTTGTTGTTAGAAACTGCTCTTGTTGATTGTAGCGAATTCGCGATTAGCTTTCTTTAGCTGTTTGAATTACGTTCTATTGGACATTTGAGTAGTTAAAAGAAACTACTGTGAGATATTGTATACTGCATAAATTGAGAAAATTTAAGCATTTTTGTTGTGATAATAATAAATTTTTTGTTCATTTTTCATCGGACTTCTGCATTCATTTCAGAACGAACCCGTACGCACGCAACAATATTTTGAGGATTTTCAGTTCATGTAGCTAATATTTCCATTTAGCATATTTTTTAATTTTATCTTCCGGTATTTAAAAATTTCCATGCGATTCCCAACTTCCAGCATTCCTGCAGGAATAATTTATGAATTAATGTTATTGGACTAGTGAAACCTGTTGTGTTATATAATTGGTGCGGTTTAGACAAAATGTCTCGTTTGGTGATCGACTCATTGCTGTTCTCGATTTCCATCAACTGACACGCTAAAGTGCATTTCTTTGTATCTCATGTGAATCTTAAACCCGATTCGTCATTTTTATCTACATCATCTGAACTACCTTTAAGGAAATCCTCTGTTTCAAGAAAATGAGTATTTCTCTATCCACGTGAATATACTTAGCTGCTTTTAGAGATTTTTTATATATGCTATTGGAAATTTTTGAAATATTCTACGTCCGCAGCTGAGTCAACACTTGCAACTCAATTATCCACATAAAATGACTCTGCGTTTTATTGCAATACCTTTCTAAGGCTGCTTTACTTGACCTGCTTGAAATACGAAATACAATTCTGTATTGTCTG